CTCCTCAGAAGGACTCGTGCCACAGGAGCCAGGTCCTTGAACAACACAGCTTTATTAAAGCTGTTCTTGGCTCACTGGCTGTTTCAGTGCTGGCAGCACGGCCCGTTCCTGCCTTTTCCCAGTGCATCTCCCTCGGTGTCAGCAAATGTTGTGCTGGAAATCCCTGACACCTGGAGTTGAGGCAGGGGGGAGCTGTGAATCTCTCACAGGTCTCAGCCACGAGGAGGAAGAAGCTGGCTGTCTGAAGGCTAATTCCTAAATAGACGGATCAGGAGGATTAATCAGTTGCTCAGCACGTTCTCATTTTACAGAAATTGCCTCCAACCTGGGAAGTGCTGCACTGTTTTTAATCTCCTGCCTGTAGAGGTTTTCAGCCTGAGTGCAAAACATGGTTATCCCTGTTTGCTTCTTTCCAGACTGAATGCTGATTGTTCAGAGTGAATTAAAATTAAATCCACAGCTGAAGAACATGCCAGAGTCAGCTCCTGGTTTCAGTCCACTCGTCTGTGGGCTGTGCTCGGTGTGGGAGCTCGCAGCTGGAAGATGGAAGGCAGCTGGACTGAATGTTGGGTGGCAATGTGGGTCGTTCCAGTGGTGCCAGTGTCTCAGTGGGAAATCTCCCCATTAAATCTGCGAAAAAAACAACGACTCCATAGCAATTTCACAAGCATTTTTGGTATCTCTCCCTTCCCAAGCCTTCTTCGTGTCCTGCTCTGTGTTGTTCAGTCAACAAATGCACGTTCCCACAGGGGGTATAAATGCCCCTGGAGCCAGAGCCAGATGAATTGATACCTGCACAGAAATCGGTGTTGATTTATGCCAGGGAGGTTTTGCTGTTGAACAAGGTATTCTGTGGCTCTACATGAAGGGAACTATGACTGGTTTGCAGGCTGGTTTTGGAAAAGACTCTGTCAGGACTAGGACTTATGACCAGGTCAGAAGGTCTGTAGGTAAAATGCCAAAACTGTTGACCCAGGCAGAAAAGGAGGTCTGCTGTAGCTGATCATAATGGGTTATTCTGGCTTTAACATTTCGAGTTTCATTTCTGTTCCACATGCTGTTGGGTTGAGAAAAACTAATAATTTTTTTCTCCAGGATGCCAGTTGTTCAGAAGCAAGGGAGGGAAGGCTGCAGAGGAGGTTTGGGACTGCTTACTCAGTGAGGCATGGAGATAATGGCTGTGTGATACTTGCTTAACAGAACCAAACAAGGCTCCTTGCAGTGTTGCCTCCCTTCTTGGTGAAGGACAGAACCCCCAGCTGTCGTTTGAGGAAGCCGTGGATGTGGGATGTGACCTGGCAGCAATTTGTCCTTGCCACAGTGGGGCTGGGAAAACCTTTAATCCTTTACATACACCAGTGACTCTGCTGCAGGCTTCTGGGTGGGATTGGACCTGGGACTAGCCCACTGTGCTCGGGCAGCACGAGGATGAGACCTTCGTTTTTTGGCTGGAGCATTTCTGGAGCCAGAACTTTGTGGTTCACCCCACTGATGGCAAAGATTTGTGACTCTCACCCTTGTTATTTCTCTCTCTCTGTCAGGAGGTGAAGATCTTCCGTGCCTTAATCCTGGGGGAGCTGGAGAGGGGCCAGAGCCAGTTCCAGGCTCTGTGCTTTGTGACGCGGCTCCACCGCAACGAGATCATCCCCAGCGAGTCCATGGCCAAGCTGCGCCAGGTACGAGGCTCCATCCAGGCTTTCCTGGGGCTGGACACCCTTCCCAGGCAGCTGCCTGACTGTTCAGCTCTCACACACACCTCTGACCACCCTTCCTGCTTGGGGGACTTGGTATTAAACTGAGTTCATCAGTGGCACTGAGCCTGAGGAGGAGGCAGGGTTTAGTCCAGCCTGGATCAAGGGTAGGTGGGTGGCCGTGAAAATTCCTGCCCCAGTGAAGTCAGGGCAGAGCTGGGACCATTTATCACAAAACCATCACAGGCAAATCAGAGCAGTGGTAAAACATGATGGTTTCAGCACCAGCAAGTTTTTAAAGTGCCTTCCATCCAGCTGCATTTCCAGAGGAACATCTATTTGCACATCTCTGGGACAGGTTGGGAGAAGAGAAGAGCCTGACTTCTTGCTCAGCACAGGGTGGCCACTGCAGGGTACAGGGTACTGTCTCCCAGAGAACATGGACATCCCCAGCAAGGATCACTTTGGGTTTGCTTGGAGCCGGGGAAAGGTGGGATTTGTCTCCTCAGAAGGACTCGTGCCACAGGAGCCAGGTCCTTGAACAACACAGCTTTATTAAAGCTGTTCTTGGCTCACTGGCTGTTTCAGTGCTGGCAGCACGGCCCGTTCCTGC